ATAACGCGTCGGCGACTGTGTCGGATGCGCTCAGTCAAGTCTTGAGCACCTTTGCGGGACGACAGCCGCAAAATCACCCACCACCTTTTGGCGGTCTGGGGCCCAAGCTTTGGGACGACGTTAATGATTCTTCCCTTTATTTCTCTTCTGTCTGTCTATTTGTCCTTTTATTGCTTTCTTCTTTTTATCATTTCTTTCTTTCCTAGCTTATGCAAGTCCTTTTGTATGTGCTTGTTCATGAAATCAAGAGATGGACTGATTTCGCACAGACGAGCGGGTGGTCGACACCTGCGACTCGGCCTACTGCGATATGATTTGGCTTCTGTGCAACTTGACAGCATGATGGGGGAAACTCGCTAATAGGTTGGAGGCCATCGCTGTTAGTTAGAATATTGACTATATAATATATAATTCCAAGTATTTTTTTGTTTTACTGCTCCGGCAGAGCACGCTTGGCGTTTCTGGCCTCTCTTGGAACCATTGACATCATTCGGAGAAGAAGCTCAATTGAGAGACAGAGAGAGAGAGAGAGAGAGAGACACACACCCCACAGAGACACTTAGAAGCGGACCTGACAAACCGGAATTCCAACATTGCAGGATTGATTTGGAAGGACAAGTTCTTTTTTTCTCACTTGTTGGGGGCCACGGATGTAGCCCATCTGAAACCAAGAACAGAATACGAACATCCAAGAATCACACAGCACCAATGTATTTCCCGAAACGTACCAAAACACAGTTACTAGCCGAATCAATCTTGGATGTCGTCATTCTAAGAACCGAATCCAAAGACGAATCTCAATCGCACTGAAGGTCGGTGCTGGTTCAATCTTTCCAACACAAAGCTTCTACAGCTTGCACTCAAAGTTCTATTATTGGAAGAAAAGCTCGTAGGCTTGGCTCTAGGTCTCATTTCTGAAGTGTCAGGCCTCTAGGCTCACATCGCTTCTCAACATTGACACCACCGATGTGACTTCGAAACTTCGAAAAGATGGGGCATGGGTTGGGATAGTGTGTGAATTAGTGTGGCCATGCTGGGCCGTGCTGTGTGCATGTTTGGCACTGATTGAACTAGCATGTGGAATTTCCGGAGTTGAGACTAAGCTCAGAGGAAGGCAGTGGAAGGACAGGACTGGCTGCAGCCGACTTTGCATGCTTCCCCCATACTCGACAGATCACGTTCCCAGCAAACCTTCCTGCGAACTTTACAGGTTGCACAAACAAAACGGGGCAATATATTCAATAGACAAAGAGTTTTGCAAGATTATCTAGTTTCCAAGATGGCTTTGTAGCCAAGACCAGTCAGCTTCAGAGCCATGGAAACTCAACTTCGCTGACCGACTCACAGGTATTCATCGTCAGGGGAAAGACATCTTGAAGTTCATGTGTTGCGATGCGCCCGGAGACTCGGGCGAAGACTCGAGCGGCGCAGGGTATTGACCCGAAGATGGCAAGACGCGAAGGGCTGAAGCGAGAAGTATGTGAAAGCCAATATATCCAGTAGAGGTTCTTCAGCGACGAAAGTGTTTCTTGGGGTTTCAAAGGCAGTGATGTCCAACAAACAGCCTCAATGCGAAAGGCAAAAAGCTATTTGAACGTGTCCTGGGGGAAGAAATGCTTTCGCAGTTCCCGAGGCCCAACCCCAAAACGCAGTGCGAGAATCCACCTTGCTGGTTCCATGGGCACAGGCGCGTCCAGATTTTCTAATCTTCTTCTGCTTAAACATATATACTTATATATATGTTTTTTTGAGCCTTTTTCTTTCATTTTATCGTGTTCTTTTTCCCTCCCTTCTTTCTTTTGTTTTCTTTGTTGTTTTTCCTTTGCTGCTCTCCAAATCTGAAAAACAGAAAGATGATAGAACACCACACAATACAGTCTGGCTATACACTTTCGACACTTTCCTCGTTCTCTTTCTTCTTCAGGTGCCCAGTGGAGAAGGTGTCGGCCGTGAGCAGCGGTCCGACCTCGAGCGGCTCTGCCCTCTCGGCCTCGAGAAGGCAGAAACAGAAACGGGATTCTAGTAGTAACAAGTGCCACGCTAGTAGTAACAAGTGCCTTACTAGTAGTAACAA